ACGCAGTTAAACGTATTGCTGGAATGGCGACACCTTGTGGCTCTGAGTCTTTATGTTCTCAACTGCAAATTGCAGGTATTGACTCACTTTCTCCGCACAAAATTGCCGCCAAGATTAATACGGCTTTTTTAGAACCGATGCAAACTTATCAAAGTATTTACCCTCCTCCTCCTTTCGAATCAAACTCTGAACAGTCCCAAATCTCGGCCGAGGCTGTTTCGTCTGTATTGCGAAATTTACCACACAAAGCACCCGGACCTGACCGCGGCATCCCAAACTGGATTCTTAAAGAATATGCCATGATACTCTCCAATCCCATTTGTTACGTTATAAACAGTTTCTTCGCTAATCAAGGTCTTCTTTCTTCCTGGAAATTAGCTGATGTTATTCCAGTACCAAAAAAAGCCCCGTCGAAGATGTCAATAACCACCTTAGACCCATCTTCCTGACACCGACTATTTCTAAAGTTGCAGAGGAGTTTGTTGTGAAATTAGCCCTAGCCAGTTTGGAGCCATACCGAAGTCCTCGACAGTACACGCGCTTATCTCTATAATCCATCATTGGGCCCAAGCCACGGACAGTACAGGAGCCGCAGTTAGAGTGGTCTTATTTGACTACGAAAAAGCATTTGACCTAATTAGGTAGGTAGGTAAAACTTTATTTAACTACGCTAACCCCTACAGCGAAGGCTGATTTCCAAGGGGGGCGTAGATTTAAATAGTTAAAAAATACAATTAAAGGGAAATGGCAATATATTTTTTTATTTTCCCATATGAAAGAACTTTTGAAACTATTTAATAACTTGTTTTACCGATTCATCATATCTTGCTTAGTTCTTGAAATATTTCAACTTGAAGTAATGAGATGTCAGCCATCTTAGATAAAATTTTGATCTCATTAACGGTAGTTTTGGTGACGTCACAACAGGATTAACCATACAAAAGTATTCGTTACTGACCAAATATTGATTGGTAGATGTTTTAAACGTTTCAAGTGGTCTTGATATTTCCAGGAGCATACAGAGTATAATTTTGGGTGCAAAATGATTAGTGGTTGTCTAGATAAAAATATTTCGTGACCCCTGTTGTGACGTAACATGCATATCCACAAAAATCCAAGATGGCGGACATTTCATTTCTTTCGATTAAAATATTTGTAGAAGTAAGCAAGATATGAAAAATCGGTAAAAGAGTTTTATATATGGTTTTAAATGCTCTTTCAAACGAGAAAATAAAAAAATATATTGCCATTTCCCTTTAATACAAATTATGGTCATACATTACATTACATTACATTACATTACATTACATTACATTACATTACATTACATTACATTACATTACATTACAGTTAACAACAATTACAATACATTTACAAATACAACTAGTATATAATTATTTACAAATTAAATTAATGTTAGTACTGTTCAATATTTTAGATTAACGTAATTATTTTATTAATTAATTAATTAATTGGCCAGGTGTCGTATACATGAATTAAACGAAGCAAGAGTATGTTTGTTTCTTGCTTCATCAGAAAGGCTGTTCCACAATTTCGCTCCTCTATAACTAAGACTTTTTTTAAGAAATTCAGTTTTAGGTTTGGGCAAAAAGAGTTTGGTGGAAGAGCCTCGCATATTATAGTAATAAGAGGAAGACGTCCTTTGAAAAATATTGGTTAGTCGTTTTGGCGCCAGTTCACGAGTTATTTTATACATAAGACTTGCTACGCAATGTGTTCTGCGTTCACTTAAAGGTTTCCATTTCAGTTCGTCTAGAGCAAGTTCAGATTGACCGTGTTCGTTTTTACGGCCAGTAATAACTCTAGCTGCCCTATTTTGTAGTTTCTCGAGTCGATCAGAAAGTGTGGCACCAATGGTGTCCCAAACTTCGCAGCAATAATCTAGGTGTGGAAGTATAAGTGCATTATTAGCACAAATTAATGTATTATGATCCACACAAGATTTTAGCTTTCTGATCGCACCAATTCCGGATGAAATCTTCTTAGCAATTTTATCAATATGCTTATCCCACAATAGAAATTCGTCAATATGAACTCCAAGCGCTTTTGTTTCTTTGACCTTTTTAATTGGTGTATCACCAATTTACATTTGGAGCAGCAAGTAAATTATTTATGTTGTACCGAGATCCTATTAGTAGATACTCAGTTTTGACTAGATTAAGAGATAATCTATTTGCAGAAAGCCGTTGTTTAACGTTGGTAAGGTCATGATTTATGGCCACCTCTACATCTTGGATTGACTAGCCAGATACAGTTAGAGTCGTATCGTCGGCAAACATTCTTGTCGACGAGTACTCCAAACTGTTAGGCAGATCATTAATGTAGATCAAGAATAAGAGTGGGCCAAGAATTGAACCTTGAGGTATTCCACATGTAACCAACTTCGTGCCCGACAGAGCGCCATTAACGGAGCACATTTGGGTTCTATTCGCTAAATAGGATCCTAAAAGGTTTAATGATGGCTTCTGTAGGCCATAAAAATCAAGTTTCGTTAAGAGGATGTCATGATTTATGGTGTCGAACGCCTTTTGTAAGTCCAGAAAAACAGCTATATTAAACAAACCACGGTCCATATTAATAAACCATTCATTTGTACTATCTAAAAGAGCAGAGGCTGTAGAATGAAACTTCCTGAAACCAAATTGACGAGGGGACAACAACTCCTGTGTAACAAGATACTCATGGAGTTGTTCGTATAATACTTTTTCAAAAAGTTTACTTACTACCGGGAGGATAGAAATGGGGCGATAGTTGTTTAATAAGTTTCGTGGGCCGTTTTTAAATATGGGAGTGACTCTTGCTATTTTCCACTCAAAAGGAACAGTTGAACTTATAATGGCCATATTGAAAATTTTTGTCAATGAGTTTGTAATTACAGGAGCAGCAATGCGAATAATTTTAGCAGGGATTTTGTCAATTCCAGTAGATTTACGAGGATTTAGAGATAACAGAAGTCTGTATACGTTCGACTCAGACACTGTTTGAAAATTAAAGCTACTAGTTGTTGTCGTGATGTAATCCTTGAAATTTCTGTCACCATTGTCGATATTTTTGGCAATATCTGGACCAATATTGGTGAAATAATTATTAAAACACTCCGCTAACTCCGTTGGATGTGAAATTTGTCCTCTCTGTGTTTCAAGACAATTTATTTCTCTACTTTCATGTTTACGGTTTAGGATTTTATTCACAGTTTTCCATGCTTGTTTGGGATCATGTTTGACTTTCTTAAATTCTCCTTTATAATATGCTGCTTTTGTTTCTCGCAATGCATCAGTTACGCGATTTCTAGAGGTTTTGTATGCGTTCCAGTAATTTTCGGATTTATGTCTAATAGCAAGAGATTTAAGGCGATCGCGTTCGTGGATTTGTTTTTTAATTGTACTAGTGAGCCAAGGAACATTTGGTTTACTTTTAACTCTCTTTTCCCGGATTGGGGCATGCCTATCAAGAACTTGTACGAAAAGTGTTTTCCATGTCTCCCACATCTTATCAACGCAGAGATTGTTATCTAATAATTCCCATTCCTGACCACGCAGGTCAGCTTGAAAACTCTCAGCATTAAAATATTTTAAATTACGAATTTCAACTTTCTTGTGACTGTTCTGTTTGCGCTGGATATTTATTTTACGAACAACGAAGATCATATAATGATCACTAATGGCAATCGGTATTACTTGCGATGTTATTAACTTAGTTGGAGTGGGAGTAAGACAAACGTCTATTAGGGAGGATGAGGTCGTGGTCACACGGGTGGGTGTGTTTATCGTTTCAGGGACCGCGGAGACGGGGGGGCTGGGGGGAGCTTTAGCCCCCCCACTTTGTTTGACAGCCAAAATTATTAAAATAGAAATCTAAATGAAACTTTCTAAATTAATTAAACCTTTTCTAGGCATTTTTAACTTTCGCATCTAATTAAAATGAATAAAGTCTAAGCACCCCATTATGTGTACCTTACATGAAGTTCCCTTCAACACAGCCACGTGCTCCGAAACGAAATTATTATTTATATTCATGGTTTTTGCAAAGTTTCCGCAATGGAGTTGAAACTGCCTTTATTTTTACTTTATTTTTACTATTTTTACTTAAGTCTGTAAAAGGTCTAAATTTTGTTACTTTTTATGACGATGGTCTTGGAGATTTTTTGCTAAAGTTCCTCCAAAAATGCAGGAAATAGCGTTTAAGGTAATAGAAAATTGAACATTTTCCTTGGGGGTTTTATTGATGATTTAGCCCCCCCCCACTCTCTAATACGCTCCGCGGGCCCTGCGTTTGCGATAATTGATATAATTCCATGATTGAATTTAAATTCTTTGTGGCATTGTTTGAGGTGTCAAGCATGTTGACCACCAAATTGACCACCAAATTCTGGTACAAAAAATCCTTAGCCTAAATATTCCCCGGAGCATCGCGCGCTGGGTAGCTGATTTCTTAACGAACCGTAAACAACGTGTCAAACTTTCACATGACTGCTTTTCCGAATGGGGAGATGTACCTTCAGGAGTCCCGCAAGGCACCAAATTAGGACCGCGGCTGTTCCTGCTTATGTTTAATGACCTAAAGATCCAAGATGTTAGTAGCTGGAAATTCGTTGACGACACAACCATATCAGAAGTTGTTTAGATTGAAACGAGTAGTCAAGTCCAAGACGCAGATACATCAGTTGAAAAGTGGTCCACTGAAAATAAACTCCAGCTAAATGCCAAGAAATGCAAAGAACTCATCATAGACTTCAAGCGTTCCAAACACGTCTTCGAACCTTTGACAGTAAATGGTAACCTACTCAGTGTTGTAAAACATGTAAAGTTCTTAGGTCTGAACCTCTCAAACGACCTCCAGTGGAACGTCCATATTGGTGAAATAATTAGAAAAGCTAATAAGCGTATGTACTTCTTAATTTTACTAAAACGTTCTAGAGTATCAACTGCGGACATCCGAATTTTTTTCTGTACATGTATTAGACCTCTGTTGGAATACTGTTCGCAGATTTTCCACCATTCCCTCCTGAAATATTTGTGTGGTGACTTGGAAAACGTTCAAAAGGGAGCGCTGGCTATCATTTCACCGAACCAGTCATATGAACATAACCTGCACAAGTTTAATTTAATTACTTTAAAAGACAGACGTACGAAGTTATGCGACAAGTTATTCTCGTCCATCAAGAGTTCGGAATCTCCCGGAAGTTACACAATCTTCTACCTCCTTTGCAAGAGGAAAACCACGACATTAGAAAGAAGCGAGTCTTCGATATTCCAATGATACGCACTGAACGCTTTAAGCGGACTTTTATTCCTTCGATGTGCAAGTCTTAAAACAATTTGACCTTTGTAGTTAACAATTTTCTTGAACTGTCTTATATCTAACCTTAGCATCTAATGTAATTTTTAAATTCGTGTTATAATAGCTTGTAAATATAATAAATTACGCAATTCAGCATTTATAAGCTGCAATGTAAACTTTTAATTAAACTATCTATCTATCTAAGAGGAGACTAATTCGGTGATATGGCAATCGTATGACATGTTGGTGTACCTTATTAATCCTAAATCCTTGGCTGAAGGAACTGACCTGATAGTTAATTTCACCTAGAAAATTTAGGCACATATCTGTAGGGAGATTTTGTAACTGTTGTCGCGTTCCAATAAGTAAATACTTGGTTTTCTCCGGGTTAATAAGTAGATGATGTTCTGCAGAGCAGCACTTTGCTACTCGGCTGAGATCTTCCTGAAGGTACTCTTTTGTGTCAGTCGCGTCTTTAACACGAAATGACAAGAACATCTTTGAATCATCAACATATGAATTAAGGGAGCTGTGACGTGGGGCCAATGGTAACTCGTTTACATAGATGCTAAACAAGAGTGGAGATAAAATAGCACCCTGTGGAACCCCGTGAGTGATGTCAAGAGATGACGAAACAGACGTTCCAGTACGGACAAATTGTGATCTGCCCGTTAAGTAGCTTTCGAAGCACTTCACTACCTCAGGAGATGCGCCAATGTGTATTTGCTTGTTAAGCAATGTTGGGTGATGTACGCTATCAAATACCTTCGATAAATCTAATATCATCAATCAAAACGTTTAAAGTTTCCGAGAAATGATATCTTTTATTACCGCTTTGATGCGTTGTCAGACATTCATTATAGAACAGCTATGTTGTAAATTGGCATAAAACGACCTTCTCGCAAATTTTTGACGCAACTATAAGTAAGGAAAGGGGACGATTGTTGGATGGTAGTTCATGAACACACTCCTTTATTAGTGGAATAACTTCTGCCTCCTTCCAAGATTATGGGAACTCAGAAGACGTCAGTGAAGCATTAATAATATCTGTTAATGGTCCGAGGATGACTGGTAAGCAGTCCTTAATAATGCGCATGCTTACTTTATCTTTGCCTGGAGCCTTGTTGGTGGGCGTGGACATTATAATGTTTTATAATGTCAGAACAGGAGACAGGGTCAAAATTAAAGATCTCAGATTTGTATACAGGGTAACTTCTATTAAACGCTGTAGTGGGTGGATTATCAGGGTAAATATTATAATCTTGTACGTAATAATTGAGATGCTGCTATGGCTGTGTTCTCCCCAACAGAAGAAAAAAATTGGTTGAACTCTTCAGCAACTATCTTTGGGTCTTTGCTATAGACGACCGTCTCTTTTTCTTTGTAAGCTACGGTATCTTTGATAATTTTCCATAAGGAACCCGTGTTATTTTTATGCTTAATCACTTCATTGTAGACATGATTTCTTGTGCTTTAATGAGTTCGGTCTTAACAGCGTTACGAGCTGCTTTGAAGTTGCACCAATCGCTGTAGTTTCGTGTGTCTTAAGAAAAAGGCCGTGTAGTCGATCTCTATTGCCCATCAGTTCTTTTATTTCAGGTGTCACAAAAGGGCACAGTCTGTCTCTGGCTTTTAGGGTCTTTATTGAATTATTGGGGCATGAGAATCGAACGTGGTCTGAAGTACGTCATCGAAAATTTTGAGTTTTTTATTAAGATAATTGACTGAAAAGATGGAAAAAAGGCGTTCAGATTTAGATGCGAGATCAGCGGCAAATAATTCGGTGTCGTAGTTCCTATAGCTATAGCTGCGAACTGTAATGTAGGTGGGTGGTGGTATGGTAGGCTTTAGCTTAAGCGTAACATACACGGGCAGGTGATCATTGTGTCAGAGATCTGAGTAAGTTCTTTGATTACCTATGACTTTATGTTTTTACGAACGTATGCACAAACACCACCGCCTTTCTTATACAATCGATCCAGGCGTTGTAATTTGTAACCATCGATTTCTAATTTCTTATTTGTTACCGTAGTGTTCAACCATGTCTCGGAAATAGTAAAGACGTCAATTCTATTTGTTCTAACGAGTTCTTTCAACTGCAAGAAATGGGCTGTATTTCGTAGGGATCGTATATTTAAATGAGCTAACTTCAATCCCTCGGTTAAGAGTATAGATGGAACTGAGTGGGCAATAGATGATTCACATATATTGTTTTTCCTTATTGGAATAAGTACTAAGTTACGACTGAGATTATGGTTGGTAGACCTCTATACTAGTTGACGGTTGGTTATTCTAACCGGGATGGTTTCAGACTCATTATTTAAATGATTAGAAATTGGACCAAAATATGTATATGCCAAGTCAGGTATTACTTCTGGTTCTAGTGAGGCGGACATGTGTAAAAATTTGATCAGTAGTTCCCGTTGAGGTTAAAAGCATCAAACTTTTACAATTGATGTAGTTTTATTTGCTTAATAGATGCATGTTTGAAGTGGGGCCATCGCTATTTTGCTGCTAACTCCTGAAAACGGGTGATTAGTGATTTTCTTCTATTGAATTCTATTATAGCCAAAAAATGTGAAATTTTGTATTCAATTACTACAAATATGACTTGCATCATCAGAAAGCTTATAAAAAACTGCATATAAGACGTTTAGACAGTTTTTTTATTTCTGAAATAGTTTTCGAATTATAAACTATTAAAAACGCATTTTCAAACATCGAATAATTAATTGGGGACTTTTAGCGAAATAATGTGCCTAATTTACAGCAATAACCATTGGAAGAATAAAAAACTGTTTAAAACTCTTTTATGTAGTTTTTTACAAGCTTTCTGATGATGCAAGTTATATTTGTCAGGATTGAATTCAAAATTTCACATTTTTTGTTGTAGTAGAATTTAATAGCAAATAATGCTAACAGCATCGTAGCTCTCTAAAAAATAGGTACGCTACGCGTACATGTATCTGCGAAAAAACGTGATTCGCATTTTGTATTTTCTTGAAAGGAAATGAATAATGAAGATGGCATGGGACAATTTAAATATTTCATCACTTACTAGAACTAGAAATACATGCATGCAGCAACCCCTCGCCCATATTTTCCAAACATTGATTTAACATGATGTATCAGTAATTGATCAACACTGAACGCAGGCTCGCATTAACGTCGAGTTGTCATGGCAATACAATAATTTTAATTTTTATTATTACTTTTGTACAACACGGCAAAAATAGTCTAAATTATTGCTTTTAACTATACTAAGAATGAATTTCCGAAATATGCGCTGTAGGTATGCTGTTCTGGATTTTGTGAGCTTTGATTTAATGTAAAATTTAACTTTGCATTTTAATACGTTTTTTCTTAAATTTATAAACAGGTTAATTTAGGACACTTTACAGGAATACAGCTTCATTGTCCAGCAGTGCATGTTTTACGCAATATAAAATTAAAGCAACAAAATTCATAAACATTAAAACATTCAAAGCAAACTTGCCCTTTTTTCCATAGTAAATCAATTCTTCTCATTTTTCAAACAAAATGCTTCAAGTCATTGTGTCAAACGCGATTTTCCGAATATATAGATCTAATACAGTAATAGATGCTTTTGGAAATTGAAATCTTTGTTGTAATATTCTCAGTGGGCTTTTCCCACTCCTGGCAAACAACCATATTTTTTAGATCAGTGAGAAGGCCGCCCTTGGATCATAGCCATGCGCCCACGATATTTGATAAACTTTAGACTTCGCTAGTGCGTTCCTTTCACCGGGTGTAAATAGCAGGGCGGAATTAGTACCCTCGCCCGGGGCTAACACCCGGAACGGCGCTCTGCGCCGTTGGCTTGGGGATAAAGATAATAGCAAATAAGATTTTAAAGTAAAACGAGCATGGGCAACTGCCACTAATTTTATGTGATTATGATCGTAACAGCACACATCTCTAAATATATGCGGACCTCTTTGACTATATTATAACTAGGCCTAGGGCAGTCAAGGTGACAACTCGTACCAAGGGGTACCAGCACTTTGAAAACTCGTACCAAGGGGTACGAGCACTTTGAATACTCGTACCAAGGGGTACCAACACATTGTACCAAGGGGTACCAACTTGTGTAAAGTTCGTGTGAATGTGTGTCTGGTACTAAAGGCAATACAAAGGGTTGCAAGTGCATAAAAACGTTAGTTTTGAGACGAACTTCTAATTCCAGAGCGTATCCTTGGTAAAACTACGACTGTAAAGAGAACCTAAGTGAAATAGTAATAGGGAAATTGTTGAAATCGTCGAGGTTGAAATCTTGGCTACTTCGCTGAACGTGTGGATTTATATCATTTGGTCATCATTTTTACGTCCTTCAGGAATACAATGTCATCGGATTCCACATCACAGACTATGTATTGCAAACTATTTGTTTTTGATAGCATCAAATTAATGACTGCATGTATTCAGTATGTAAGTAAATAAGAAAGGCAAATCAGTTTGAACAGCAAAACTGGAAAGTAATTATATTTTTTAATTTTTCAATAAGGTAATTCCCACACATTAAAAGGATATGTCCATCTCCTTAGCGAGATAAATACGTCAGCTAATGGAAGAACAAAGTACTTCAACATTCACATGCAGACTTCGCCAAGTGAGACTGTTAATCTTGTCTGCTATTCCCCAGAAAAGCGCCGTGATTTGAAACAGTGCCAAGACAAGCATGCTTCTTTGGAAATATCATCAGCTGTGAAGAGCCCTAATAAGCGGCTTGCATCGTCGAACGAGGAATATACTATCTCCAAAAAAAGCAGAATCACCGCAACACAACTGGATTTTGATTACAATGAATCATTCAGCAACAGATATCACACATTAAGACAAGCATCGGATGCAGCTGTCTTTACAACCGTGGATATCAAAGTTAAAATCATGCTGAAACCAGAAGAAAAAGAACCAGTATGTGTCAGAGGAACAACAAAATTCAAGGTTGATGCCATGGTTGTAGATCGTACCAATTCCATGAAACTTGCCTTGTGGGAAAACTGCATCGATAAAGCCCATATTTGTAAATCATACCATGTCCAGAATTGCAAAATTCACATGTTTAATGATACAAAGTTCCTCAGTACAAATGACAAAACTGTCACTTCTGAGATCGAAGCAATTATTGATGTCAACTTAGATGGGCTGGAATATCAGGAGTATGTCATCACAGCGAAATGTATTGGATTGGAGGTGAACTGTCATTCAACGTGTTTGCTTTGCAACAAGAAAATCGCTGCAACATCACAAATCGAAGATGAAATGGTGACATGTACCAACTGTAATATCACAATATTGGCTAATGAAGTTCAAACCAAATTGATTTGTCAATTAGTACTGAAAACTGCAGATGGCAAAGTCACCAGCTACACTGCATTTAATGATGCTATGCAAAGCTTTTTGAATAATGTTGATTCCGCTAGAAGCATTAGTAATATTGACACTAAAACATTAAAGTTGCTAGTCCTTAAATCTGGCGAAGAAAAGATGGTTGTTGACAAAAGTGTAAAGGTGATTGCACAGTTCCTTTCAACAACACAAGACACTCCCTTGTAGAAACTATAAGAACCAAGAATTCTCAGTTAGATAACAGTAAAGTACAATTACAACTTAGTTTTTTAAAATTGTTTTGTTGGCAGTGACAGACAGTATTGTTTTGTTGATCGTGGAAGACATTTGATAGCCCATTTTGTCAAGTTATTGAGTGGTAGTCTTCTACATGTTTTGTATTTAAACAACAATTTTATGGTCTTTTTTGTGTGTGTTTTGAAGCAAATTTATATATAACAATATATAAATTCAAGTTAATGAGACAACACGTTTGTCACCTTCAAACCTGGTTATAATCTCATAGTAACAAGATAAGCTTGTCAACAGCCACAAAAAGACGATATCCAATAGTCCAAAGTTCAAATGTTTCTCTGGGCATGTGTAAAACCGAATGAAAGATCAACTGACCAATCATATGTCAACAACGAACACGCAGAACAAAGGTCAATGTGATAAGGGAGTTCACTTTGACAAATATCCCAACAAAGAGCAATGTCTTGTTACCGAGAAAGAAAATTTGACTTGGTGCGGAGCTGTAAAGAATTACGGACATCGAATGAACTGAGACAATGTGACAGAAAAGAGTTTATGAACGCTGGAATTGACATATCATGGTTATATTAAAGAAAATTTGGTCAGTAACTCAGTATGATAATTCAGTGAGACGCAGTTTATTCAAATAGAACTCTACCGGACAAGCGCTTTTACTCTTCTGGTGGACAAAGGAATACGTTGGCCCAAGTCCCGACGAAGTTATTACCATTAAATGAAACCGCCGCTGGGGGAATAACAACAAGATCGATAGGCTAAAGCCGCTAAACACGAAATCAACAAGCGTTCAATTGATATCATTCCATGTCTCAATGCACATGCTTCCTAAAGTGAAGCGGTATTCGGCGCGTAAGTATGCGGTGCATTGACACGTTTGTTTCGTATTCCGCATCTCAAACCAACCAAAATGTATTAAAATTCGTCTATTTTATAACAACATTCTGGTGTATTTATATTTGTCGATCAAAAATTCCAATGACAATTTTATTACTACCTTGAGGTTAGCCGCAGTTTAAGGCTTCAGATTACGCCTCAGATTTGGCGTTGGATTGGGTTTCAATCAGGCCTTACATTAAACTGTATTCAATCGCTCAAAAGTAGAATTATAAAACTTCTTTTTCAGCTATTTCACAAAATTAATTCGACCTGCATACATTTTCAATACTTTACTGTTCAAAACTTAAGAAAGCAAGCTCATTTGTGAACGAAATTTGAGACTTAAAACTCTGCACATGATATACGTTTAGGTACATTTGCGATGAATCGGCAAGATGGATATCAGGAAAGATTGGTACGATACCATGTATGCCTACGCTTATGAAAATTGAAAATCCTTTGATGTACTATTATTTACTGCATATAATCTATTTTGACTACCAAATACATATTCTTACAATTTCTTTCTGCTAATATCATGCATGCATGATTGGATGTTCGATCGCAAAATTTTGGTCTTGCTATTTTGAATTAAAGTAATGAATAAGCTATTTTTCTGAGAGTAATGTCACATAATTCGAGAAAGTTCCACTGATCATAATTGAAATAAAATAAGGGTGGTTAACAAATAAATGTTGTGCAAAACGTATTTGTAAACACATTAACTTTAAAAAAAAAAAAAAATAAATAAAAATAAATAAAATGTGCCTCGATAGTGAGCTTTGTTTGTCGTGTTACCAACCCTCCAATTAAAAAATTGTAAGATAGAAGCTTTGTGGGGAAGCTGCTGGTTGTCTTGGCCCCATCCAGGTTTCCTGTATATTCCAGGTTTTTTCTGGCCTCCCTGACTATCCAGCTATAGTATGAGTGATGGTAACACCCAAATATATGTCTAACTATCATCTGGCAGCAGCTGTCTTGTATACAAATACAGCTGTGGTGGGAGTTCGTCTATGGGGAATACACATGCTGTGTATTTGTGGGGTTGTAGTGTTCCCAATGGTCAACTTCAGGCCCATAGACTCAGGTTATTTATGTAAATATAATCAGTCGAATCGTAGGTACTGTCCAAGGGGATTATCACCCCTTGGTTCAGGTCTATGTCAGAGGGGGTCGCTACCCTTCGGGCAGAGCTCCTATGGAGCATTCAGTCTCTCCTAGCAGGTCTTATATATACGCCTGCGGGATGAAAACATAAGGCTTAATGAGTCTTTGGGTTGACCAGAGTTTGAGAGTATAATGTATATAATTGGTTCACTTCCCCCTGAACCCATTCTCCCACAATGATTTGGTGTGTGTTTTACTTATTTTCGGGCTGTTCTTTCACCTAACGTGCTTGAATTATTAAAGCAAATTTATATATAACAATATATAAATTCAAGTTAATGAGACAACACGTTTGTCACCTTCAAACCTGGTTATAATCTCATAGTAACAAGATAAGCTTGTCAACAGCCACAAAAAGGCGATATCCAATAGTCCAAAGTTCAAATGTTTCTCTGGGCATGTGTAAACCGAATGAAAGATCAACTGACCAATCATATGTCAACAACGAACACGCAGAACAAAGGTCAATGTGATAAGGGAGTTCACTTTGACAAATATCCCAACAAAGAGCAATGTCTTGTTACAGAGAAAGAAAATTTCCACCCACCCACCCACCCGTTCATGTTCCTGGTATCTGGTGCATTGTATGGGTACTAACTAATGTTATGCAAGGGCTGTTCAAGAACAAATTGTCAAGAAAGACTGTCGAACCATTATCGAACAATTTTCTCATGGAAAATTATCGCTATGTAAATACTTAAATTAAATTGGTTTATGTTCAAACAAATAAATTTTGGTTCGGGGTTGAAGTGTTCCCAATGGTCAACTTCAGGCCCATAGACTCAGGTTATTTATGTAAATATAATCAGTCGAATCGTAGGTACTGTCCAAGGGGATTATCACCCCTTGGTTCAGGTCTATGTCAGAGGGGGTCGCTACCCTTCGGGCAGAGCTCCTATGGAGCATTCAGTCTCTCCTAGCAGGTCTTATATATACGCCTGCGGGATGAAAACATAAGGCTTAATGAGTCTTTGGGTTGACCAGAGTTTGAGAGTATAATGTATATAATTGGTTCACTTCACCCTGAACCCATTCTCCCACAATGATTTGGTGTGTGTTTTACTTATTTTCGGGCTGTTCTTTCACCTAACGTGCTTGAATTATTAATGTTATGTATTGAGGTGAATATAATGTTTTTGATGTTACTCTAAGTGTAAAGCCACACCGGCAAGCTGAAAAGTTAGCCGCGGGTTCGATTCCCACCGTGGTCAGGCTAACTTTTCAGCCAGCCCGGTGTGGATATACACACAGAATAACATCAAAAACAATTTTATGACACACTTTATGCTCTATATGATATATCTATATGTGAACCAAACCACATTCGTATATAATATATATAAATTAAGGTACAACGAATAATCATAATCCACTTGGCATCTTTATTACTAAATAGTTTCGTACCACAAGATGCGACACTCTTCAGATAAATTGACCTAATGACATTAGATTGACCTAATTGTCATTAGGTCAATTTATCTGAAGAGTGTCACATCTTGTGGTACGAAAGTATTTAGTAAAAAAGATGCCTAGTGGATTTTGTTGATTTGTTGTACCTTAATTTAAATATGCTCTGGTTTTCCCTACATACAATACACAGCTAATTCAAAAAAGGTTGGCCTTTGCAAACTTTAAGCACGCAAAGTTTAATGGGGACACAAGTTTCAAGCTTAGTGTTTGACTATTGCAGCTATTTGTGAATGAATTGTTCTCGTAAGGATATAATTGCCATGTGTCAAAGAAATGGGCCCCATATATGATTTCTAAACTCATTAAATGATGCTCCCATCATGCTTTGCAAGCTTAGAGTTTAAGGTTTAACCATGATGTTCACTTTCACATCCAAAGGTAAAAACGTGTTCAGTCTCCTCTATTAGGAGTGCAGGTTATTTGTTAAAATTTTAGCAGCTGTTTTAACCCATTGAGTCACAATGTGCCCCCAGTGCGCTCAATGGGGAAACTCTGCAGCTTAATGGGTTAACCAAAAAATCAGTCTGTAGTTAATTAATCCATTTAGCCAAAATGCAACCCAATGCGCCCTACATTTTTTTACTTGTCTAACAGCAGACAATTTTAGTCGTCAATGGGGAAGCTCTGCATCTTAATGGCTTAAAGAAAAAGTATTCATACTGAAAACATTTGTCAGCTGTAGCAGCACCGTTGCAAATTCTTATATTTTCTTGAAAGGAACTGAATAATTAACATGACATGGGACAATTAAAATATTTAATGACTTATTATAATAAATATAATAGCAGGCAAACAAGCAGGGGGCAAGGCACAAACTGCTTTATGATCTGAGAAATAAGTTTCTAAAATGTGTGAACTAACTTGCGACTCTGGTAGATTTGTATAAATATGATCTATTAATGTCCGATTGTCTGTAGTGACATTAGACACCAATTGCATATAGTTACGATCATTGATAAAAAATCTATCTAAAGGCCTTCTATTGGCTTCATCCAACCAATTGATATTAAAATCACCTATGAAAATGTTAAATTGAGAAGTACAAAACCTCAAAACCTCATCTAATGCTGCACACAATTGTTGCACTGGAATTCTGGGTGATCGATATATTCCAATTATAGTAACATGTGGAAGAATCGTTGCTTTCATAATGGTTTTTTCAATGCCATTGATATATTATAACAACATGGATATCCAGGTAAGAATTCAACTCTGCTAAACACTGCCATGCCACCAAAGGGTCTGGTAGTCAGAGAGTGACCATCATTTCTGAACAAGGTGTAACCATCAATATCATACATACTGGCATTATCCGAGCGCATACATCGAGTTTCAGAAAAAATATTGATGTCTGTATTAGCAAAATTAAAATCATGCAGAATATCATCAATGTGTTTATGCAATGACCGTGCATTTAGATAGCACAGTTTGAATGAGACTTGGTCTGTCTTATAAATAGGAGTGACACTTAGTTTTAGTGCACGTTCATTTCTCAAATGTTCCATTTCAGCTGCTACATGAGGATTGACAGCTATTTTATCTTCACATAGGTCAGTGATAAATAAACCTTCAATTGCTGTTACCCTGCTCAAACCAACATAATGTATATGTGGTATTGATCTTCTAGTGTTGAACAACTTGTGCAGTTTGGTTTCTACCAACTTGTGCAGTTTCGTTTCTACCCACAGCAAACTGAGTTGTGATTGGCTTTATTGGAGTTCATGTGGACTCAATACCGTGAACATAAAGACGTATATTTTCATGTCTGGTCTTCTCATCAACATCTGAATGGTCAAATTGGACCCATATTATACCTGAAGGTCTATCTATTTGATTTAATTGTATCTTTTTAACAACATTACCAGCATCATTAGTGATCCCATCATCAGTGCGTACATTTAATGCTATCTCAGTTCTTTCCCCCACCGACAATTGAAGGTTTGAAGCAATTTGTTTAGTTTTCCTGGGATCATCTGGTATTTGACTCAAAATTTTATCTCGAAGTTGAGCAGAGTTAGCTCCTATAACACTGTCTATTACTTTGATTGAAAACTTTTCACCAGTTGCTGCATTATGCACTCTTTCATTGAATTCATTTACCTTCTTATTTTGTATGAACAAGTGAGGCACATCCATGGGATCTTGGATGCTATTTTCTTTTATTAATCTTTCTTTTAGTTTCAAAATATCATCCTTAGTATGTTTTCCTTCCCTAAGTCTGTTTAATATTTCAGCAAACACTTTGCTCTCCCTTTGGCGCATAATTTCTTCCAATTCAAACATATTGAAGTTATCTTGCCATTTATTAGGAGCAAGAACTGCATATTCTGAATTGTCTAGATTTTTAAATATATACCTGTCCATTACAGGTTCCAGCTGAAATAAATCACCGATAACAACCATGCTTACACCACCAAAATCGTCTTTACTTCCTTTAATATCTTTCAGTCTATTATTTATTTGAACATTAAACATTGCACTACCAACCATTGAGAGCTCATCCAAAAATATTAGTTTTAAACCACCAAGTTGACACCGTAAGGTGTTTAACCTGCTTGAATCAAGATGTTTGTAATTCTTTAAAGATTGACATGCAGGTATTGAAAGTGCACTATGTATTGTGTTACCTTTGATATATTGTAAGCTGCTTTACCAGTAGGTGCAAGCATTAATATTTTCACTTGATGGAAATCATCACCTGCTCTAGTATTATAATACTTTAATGCTGCTTGATAAAGACACTTAGTAAGATGTGACTTGCCAACTCCTGCTCCTCCACTAAGAAAACAGTAGAATGGATTGTCAGAAGTTTTAATAAGATGTAAAACATGGAAGAAAAATTCTTTTTGTTCTCTGTTTAGTTTTTGTACCATTCCTCTGTAAACATCATCCTGTTCTTCATGTAATATCAGCTGCTCATTATTAGATGCAGCTGAAGGAATTCCAAGATCACCAGATAGGTCATAGGTTTCATCGAATTCTGGATGAAGGTCTTGTGCACCTTCATCTTCATCTTGACGCTCAATGTTTTGTGTTCCTGGGGCAATCAGGTCATAGTTTTCATCACTATCTTCCACATTATTAAGCTGGTCTTGAATCGCATTCAAGTCTTCACTGCACATAGCATAACATTTCATTTGCTCATCTATTGTCAATCTCGTTCCCAGAGTATGCCTGTTCGCGGGTTAGGTTGTGGCATGACTCTGGGGAAATCGAATCGGAATCGTTATTTGATTGGCTGCCGTGATCATCAATACTGCCGACACAATTAATGCGTGTTTTTTGCGAGAATTACGCGTGAAAATACGCGAAGAGAGAATTATCAATGTTTATCAAATTTGGAATGCGAAATCAAACAATATAAATCGAAGGATATAATATTAATCCTATGAAAAAGTATTGGGACGTTGGGTATATACTTACAAAATGGCATGGTATTTATGAATGACTTTTTATCGATCTACAGTATGACTATGAGTATATTCATTATAACTATGAAAGAATTGGCTAAATGAAATCATCGCACACGTTGTCGTTTTGTTGAATTGACATATTGTTGCCAGGACTTTGGAGTGACAGCTTTTGCTTGTGTTAAAAACTTGAAGCTTTAAGCAATACAGTACATTATGGTCAACACTCAACATGTTATAGTCTGTGGTGCTTTTGTAAATGGAGTTATCTATATAAAGTTAAGATGCCAGGATGTTTTTGTAGCATCTGTATAAATTATAGAATAATTGATTTAAGAAGTTCCTCAGGTTGTAAATCATTTGGTTATAGACTTGCTTTGTAAATGATTGCCACTTGACAGCATGATGGGCTATTCCATTTAATATTGGTACACCCCCTGTCGAGGATACATGTTTTTCATTGGTTATACCCTTGAAGAATTCCAAACTCGAAACCTTTTACCCCTGAAGAATTCCAAGCTCAAAACCCTTTACCCCTGAAGAATTCCAAGCTCAAAACCCTTTACCCCAGATGAATTCCAAACTCGAAACACTTTACCCCTGAAGAATTCCAAGCTCAAAACCCTTTACCCCTGAAGAATTCCAGGGATCCTCGACAGGGGGGGGGGTATTAAATGGAATAGCCCAATGTAAGGCTATAACTAAGCCAAACCTGAAACAATTTTTTCATCAATTTGTGTCTGGATAAAAAATAAGTAGTGAATTTAAATACAGATGTTTCCTTGTCTGTTGCTATGTGAAACAATGTTATTTATACCAATAAGAGTCTTTGTTGATCAATAACAATGCTCATTTGCTAAAAATATACAAGTATTGATTCCATTTCCAAACTATTATACTATGTGAATATATTGACAATTGATTCAATTATATATAAATAACAACTTTAATTTCTGTATCAAGCCTCCTGGGTATTATTGTTTCCTAAGCATCATTGAGGGGGCACTTGTTCTAAATATATGCAATAAGTCTGGTTACCATTAATTAAAAAATGTCCATATTCAGAGTTACAGTTGTACTGTTTTTATTAAAATACTACAGAATAATACTTTTAAGAATTATAATTGAATGGGGACTGCATGGTTAAAAGAGGAGGGGGGCTTATTTATTTTTGTATCCAAATGAGGGGGGGGGGGTATTTATTTTTGTATCCAAATGAGGGGGGAGGTTATTGGAGAGGGGCTTGAAGAGAAGGGGGCTAAATATAGAAATTACAGTGCCTGCATTCCTTCCTCTCCCTTCCCAAACATCTGCAGGAGAGGGGGCAACTGCAGGGGTTAAAGCATGGATTGCAAGGTTGATATATAATTTGCATGTTATGTACCTGGTAATATGGAGAAATGAGCTAGTGAATATATCCTTGCCTATAATTAGTTGCTGATTAAATGTTCAAAGATACACAGTGTGAAGCATGAAAAACAAATGGAAGATACCCACAGCCAACAAATTTTCAACAAATATATATGGATTTGTTCACTTCATTTCTTACTTTCGACACAAGTAATTATGATAATTATAATTACAAACACAATGTACTGTCATTTAAAGACTTTATATGTGATCCATGTATATATGTTAATGTAGTATAATAAAAAAAGTAATGTGTTTATTGTTAAAATATGGGATATATAATACCGTAAACCTCTGACTATAAGCCCTGGGCTTATATTCTTTTGTAAGTGATTTTTGATGGGCTTAGGGGAGGGGGCTTATATGCATGGGGGCCTTATACATGGACGATCAATTGTGTTAGTAATAAACAAGTCAGTCATAAACAGGAAAATAAACATGTATTAATAACACACTTTGATTAACATAGTAAGCTATAAAGACAATGACAGTGTTTCAAATATCGTTCTCTGCTATATTAAAAGACAATGTCAATGATAAATAACATAGTGGGATACTGGGCTTATATTCAGGGGGCTTATATTCCGGGACTTATATTCAGGGGGGCTTATATTTGGGGGGGGGCTTATATTTGGAATGAGGTGAGCATTATATTCAGAGGTTTACAGTATACAGTTCAAAAAAGCTTGTATTTTCTTGTCACAGACACATTTCTGGGTGCATATAGAACAGCTTATACGTCAGGTTCTCATGTCGATCCAATGGTAATTTGATATCGCTGCCATCACCATAATATAGTAGCACAGAATGGCCTTGTATCATACTTTGACATCATGCATGCAGAAATGTCTTGGTCATTCATGTGGAGATATTACTATCAGTCTATCACGATAGAATTAGTTACGCCAAGTAACACGTCGTACACGTCAGGTAGCAGCTGAAATATTTTAATATTTGCCATAATAAGCCCATAACCTGTTGGCAAAACAACCAAAACATTTTCACCATTTTACATTATGGCCGAGATACATTTGAATGTCTCGTCTTTTAACGAATATTCAAGCCCTCTTTTCGCTAGAACAACTTCCATAGCTCTTTCAGTATTTGCCATTGAATATAATTTAATAGTAGTACGATTTAAAGCACCTTTAAACGTATAAAAAACGATTTTGTATACTATATTCTGACGAGAATCTTTGTTTAAAACAATATCGATTGTGAGCGTGTGCCCGCGCGAATTTAGTAAGCGGAATAAACAAAAGCAATAAAGCGCATGCGCCATTTATCTCATTTTGGATAAAAAAAATTCGATTTCCCCAGAGTCATGCCACAACCTAACCCGCGAACAGGCATACTCTGGGAACGAGATTGCGGTCAGTTACGTCTCTGTATGTCTTATCTACTCTGTGTTTTCGTGCAGTTGAAGGCGCGGTCACTAAGTTTCGCAATTGGTCTATCGGCTGCCAGGCAAATGGTCACAGACTCACAGGGATGTATTTTTACCATTGGTGACCATTGCTATTTGGAAGTGGTTATAGCCCATATTTCCGTAATCATTAAACTCGTTAAAAATAAAAGGCTAAAAAGCGCGTAAATTTAATTAACTTTCAAGCAAGTCCTCCGTAGTGTGGTTTAGGCGCCCGCATTCTATGTGATAGTTGGGGATCGAATCCTGCTCGCGCCACTACTTTATTAATGTTAAAACTTTTTTCTTCGTGGTTTTTACAAGTTTTCACCCTTTTGGGTTAGCTTAGGTTAGGGGGTTAGGTTAGGGTTAATGTCCTACGGTGGCCCATACGGGCCACCCTTCTCCGTAGAAACTTGCACCTTCTCCGTACAAATGTGTTGTTATTCCATGGAAATCAAACTTCTCCGTGGAATATTGCAGTTGTTCTGTCACGGAAAGCCTTTTCTCGTAGAAATATGCAGTTTCTCCGTGGAAACACGCATCTTCTCCGTGGAAACACGCAGCTTTTCTGTGGAAACACCTCAGCTTCTCCGCGGAAACGCGTAGCATTTCTGTGAAACACGATGCGGTGGCCCGAACGGGGCACCTCTTCTCCGCAGAAACATGCAGCTTCTCCGTAGAAACACGTGCCTTCTCTGTGGATGAGCACTTTCCTTGTGAATTAAAAAAGGCACGCCCCCCTGAATATTTATTGGTTTTATACGACGGGGGGAGGAAGAGAAAATAAAGTCACAAGTCAACATCGTGGTCAAAACATTACAAGCCAGTTTTATAAATATGAATGCTTTAATATGGGCACAGATATCCAGCATATAAATTGTGAGAATTGCCAGACAGAGATTTTGATCGTTTATAGCTTTTGTAACAATTGTGGAAATAGATACATACTATAAAGTTTTACTTTTTTATATTTATGTTATCATTTTTATTTGTGGATTTATATTTTTATAAATTGAATATTTAAATATACAACGTATTAATCTGTCGGTCAGTCTCGTATGCGGATCTGCTAGTGTAGGTATGGATATACAAATATCTACACTAGCAGATCCGCATACGAGACTGACTGACAGATTAATACGGTGTATATTTAAATATACAATTTATAAAAATATAAATCCACAAATAAAAATGATAACATAAATATAACTTTTTTATATTTATGTTATCATTTTTATTTGTGGATTTATATTTTTATAAATTGAATATTTAAATATACACCGTATTTAATATGCGGATCTGCTAGTGTAGATATTTGTATATCCATACCTACACTAGCAGATCCGCATACGAGACTGACTGACAGATTAATACGGTGTATATTTAAATATTCAATTTATAAAAATATAAATCCACAAATAAAAATGATAACATAAATATAAAAAAGTAAAACTTTATAGTATGTATCTATTTCCACAATTGTACAAAAGCTATAAACGATCAAAATCTCTGCCTGGCAATTCTCACAATTTATATGCTGGATATCTGTGCCCATATTAAAGCATTCATATTTATAAAATTGGCTTGTAATGTTTTGACCACGATGTTGACTTGTGACTTTATTTTCTCTTCCTCCCCCCGTCGTATAAAACCAATAAATATTCAGGGGGCGTGCCTTTTTTAATTCACAAGGAAAGTGCTCATCCACGGAGAAGGCACGTGTTTCTACGGAGAAGCTGCATGTTTCTGCGGAGAAGGTGCGTTCGGCGGAGAAGAGGTGCCCCGTTCGGGCCACCGCATCGTGTTTCACAGAAATGCTACGCGTTTCCGCGGAGAAGCTGCGGTGTTTCCACAGAAAAGCTGCGTGTTTCCACGGAGAAGATGCGTGTTTCCACGGAGAAACTGCATATTTCTACGGAGAAAAGGCTTTCCGTGACAGAACAACTGCAATATTCCACGGAGAAGTTTGATTTCCATGGAATAACAACACATTTGTACGGAGAAGGTGCAAGTTTCTACGGAGAAGGGTTGGCCCGTATGGGCCACCGTAATGTCCAGACACACTGGACGCGATCCGACAACACGACGCAATTTTTTTAGTTTTTGAAAGTTAATTAATGAGAGCAAATTTTGGAAGACATGTAGGCCAAATAACTCAAAATGTTGTAGCGCTTCTAAAAATTCGGAAAATTCAAACTAGGATCAAAGTTATCGGTCAGTGAAAATCGAAAAATCGCGTCGCGTTTTAAGGGTTAATTAAAGGGGAAGTCAAGTCCGTTCTGCGCATCGGTTCTGCGCATAACAATAGAGGGCCCTCTGAGGTAAACATTGCCCAAATTTTGAATGTTTCGAATTTTTCTGAGCACAAACTCTATTTCATATTCATGTAGAAGCATAACGAACCAAAATGGTGTTAGATATTCAGACAGTACATCATATTTTAAAAAATACAGCAGTTCAAAATGTAAACAAACCGTTTGTTTACATTACGAACATGTTACGAAGATTTTACGAAGATGTTACGAGGTTATTGTGGAAAACCGCTTTCCAATTGTATTGACGTCACTCTCAAAGAACGCCCGTGACATATGCCCGTGCCCCGAGGCATAGATTTATAAACTGAAATATTTATACGTACAATGGCTTTCACAGTTTTGTGTTTAATTTCGTACATCCTCGCCACAGTTTTGCTTGGATGTTTTGGCTGTGTTCTTTTTTTTGTGGCATATTTGTATTATGTCCACAAAATCAACGATCATTTACCAGGACCACCTCGTTCGAGTTTCATATTGGGTCATCTACCAGAGATTTGGAAATACAAAGCTGAAACTGGCGGAACGACTGCCGAATATCTGCTGGAAAAACGTGTTGAATACGGGCCAATATTTGTATTATTTATTCTTCAACAGCCAATTGTATTTCTGGGCGACGCTACCTATTTGCGACATGTTTACATAAATAATCATGCCAGCCTGTTTAAAAGTTCATTTTTTTATCCTAAGTTTGGTTTTGTTTATGGTGAGAGGGGAGCTGGTTCTGGACTGGTAATGAATACAAATGAAGTATCGTGGCGCAAACGACGGCAAATTATGAACCCGGCTTTTCACCGTAAGTGTCTAAAAGATTTCATGGGTAATTTTAATAATGTTTGTGACATCTTTATGACTCGCATGGATAGAGTTGTTGATACTGGTAAGCCGACCAGTATGGTCCAGGAATTTGCAAAAGTCACTTTGGAAGCTATGAGTCAAGTGTCTTTTAATATCAATACCCACGCTATTGAGGATCCCAATTCCCCATTTCCAGGAGCAATACGGCACTATCTTTGCGGGGTGCAGGACAACATTGATATTCCACTCCACCCCGCCCTTCTGGGAATATTCCAGTTCAAGCTGTTTCAGAATGTTATCAAAAGAGAGCAAATTGATGCAGCGCGATTTCTCAGGAAATTTGCTTCTGATTGTACCACCACTCGGATGAAGGACATTGCTGACGACAAAGCCGTCCCCGATGACTTATTGAGTCTCTTGATTAAAGATGCCAGTTTGTCATTGGATGACATAATTGATGAGTTCTTGACCATATTTATTGCTGGACAAGAGACAACTGCAAATTCATTGTCATTTACCTTGTATGAAGTCATTACAAATCCCCATGTTGAAGCAAAACTTTTAAACGAGGTTAACAAAGTGCTTGGCGGGCGTGATTATGTGCAATTTGATGATTTGGCAAAACTGAAGTATCTTGGTCAAGTTTTGGAGGAAGCTTTGAGAAAATATCCCGTAGCACCAGCACCTTCTAGAGTGCTAGCAAAAGATATTACAGTTGGAGGATATCATATTCCAAAAGGAAATGGAATTAACAGTCAGCAGATATTTTTTGCAATGAATCCTGAAATTTGGGAGAATCCAGAAGTTTTCGACCCAGAAAGATTCTCTGAAACCAAAAACATTCCAAATTTTAGCATGACCCATTTCCCCTTTTCTATTGGCCCTCGTAATTGCATTGGACAGACCTTTGCCAAGTTTGAATCAAAAGTTATCCTTGCGAAATTACTGCAGAAGTTTCAGTTCAGATTATTGCCTGGTCAGACTAATAGGATGAAAGCAAGACTTACAATGACTCCTCGAGATGGTGTCATGTGTGAGGTCACCAGACGTACATGAATAATGACAGGAATCCTTCAGCATATGAATTCAATAGTGAGTGGTTTGTTGAACTGTGTTAATATTTCGTGCAATGGGAATTATAAATAACAGCCAATGAACACTCAGGAATTGAAATTTTACTGAGTTTCTAATTTTCTTTCACATTCATGAATTACTTTATTAAATTTCTAAATTACTGTTAGTAAAAATTTATTTAAAAAATATACTCAATGCAGGGTTCATACAAGATTAAAGGCTGTATCCTGATATCCTGGTGATACCAGTTTCGAATTTTGGACACCAGATGTTGGATACCTAAGAGGGTCTTGCCTACCCAATACCAGGTTAAGAAATCCTGGTATCCACAATGGATTCCAGGAAATACTCTAATCTCAAACCCTGATCTGATGTAATTATTTGTTATATTGACTTGTGGAAAAATAAATGATCTTGTATAACATTGCCATTTGTTAAGACAAACCCAGCTTTTTGTCTTAATTACCAGGTCAGTTGAAAACATTTCTCATTAACATTGAGCAGAACATGAAATGAGCATGGTAGCTCATGGCCTAAATTTAGTGACCAGAACTTTCTTTTCATTGTTTCAGAAACTTTTGATCTGGGAAATGGGGAAATGGGGAAACTGAGTTCCTCAAGTTAATACAGGCCTGGTTTCCCAATCCCCCATATCCATAGGCATATGGGGGGAGGGGAATTGGGGGGGGGGGCAATGACTTGCTCCTTAAAATTCAGCAATTCTACTTAAAAATCAGGCAGATTCTACTTAAAAATTGTGCAATACAATTTAAAAACCAGACAAATCACTAAAGGGAAGCGTGACACATATTAAATTAGTCAAAAAGTCTTAAACCTTAACATTGAGCACGCAAGTTATGATGGGCATTGCTTATTTGGAGCCTTAGATTGGGTATTAGCTTATAGTGAACCAAATAGTCCTACATCGAAAGTGTTCAGTATATGCCCTAGCATTGTTGCAAAAAAAATTTACTGAGTTTAAGACTTTAAATAGGGAGTTACCCATAATTCATTGCGCGCTCAAGATATGTATTCTATATTGTAGTAATGTAGGGGGGGGGGATTAATAATAATACTAATTTCATGGCCAGAAATCACGGACATGATTTATTCTACTTCCTTCGCAATTTGCATATCACGTTGAAATATGGCTTCTGCAGTAAACAGTAAATTATATCATCATATGGCTTTTCAAAATTCTCTATTCTGATTGGTTGACAAGTGGTCCGTAAAAACCCATATCCGGACCGTGGTCCGTATTTTCCGTATCTGGACCGGTGCCCCGGATGTCGTTTATCAGGCGGTAAATTTTTTCTTTGCAAACAGAAAAAAATTTTGCTTTTTAATTTTCCAATTGTGTGTCATTAAAATTTACAGATAAAAATGTCAAACAACCAAATTGTTTTTGATTGAGCATGCATGCCTACCGTATATTGTTACCCAGTGAAACTGACGATAGCCGATTTAATTCGCGCGAAAAGCATATGCTCACAGACTCAGTTCAGCCATATAATAAACCGATTATTGACCTCGCTTGTTTGGTCTGTACTGTGAAATATCAGACCTCTGTTTTTTTTGCATGGACCTCGCTCGGTCCATACTAAAAAAACCTCGGTCTGATATTTCACAGTACAGACCTCACGCTCGGTCAATAAGCCGTTATTACGCGATGCTGTAAATCCCAAAATCAGAGAACATGGTAGGTCGTTTGCAACTTGCCTCAGTCGCTGGCTATAATGTCTGTCGAAGTATTTAGCGTAATGTTGACTTGATTTTAATAATTTATTCTTTACTACCGAAGCCATACTTCAACGGGTTATGTATTAATGATATGTAAATTAGTAAGGAAGTAGAATAATCATGTCCGTGATTTCTGGCCATGATTTCTAGCGCAATACATAAAAATCTCATAAAAAAGTTACAATCATTAATTTAAAAATATACTAAATAAAAATTTAACATCATTAGGAACCGGTCATAAAGTAATTACTAGAGGGGGTGGAGGATAAATGAAATTTTTCATATTTTCATACCCTCCTAAAAACCGAGGAAAATATTTTCGTAACCCCCTTGACAGTAAGTGAAAATTTTCATACCCCCCCCCCCTTCTCCTTTTATTTCTATTTTAACATTAGCTTTTGACTCGGTTTGGCACGAAAGTTTATTTTTTAAATTACTAGAAAACAAAATTGATGGTTAATTTTATAATCTTATTAAAAGTCTTTACTCAAATTCAAAATGCGCTGTTAAACAAAGCAAAACAAGAACTGATTTTTTCAACTACTCCAAAGGTGTACGACAGGGATGTATACTGAGTCCTCCTCTTTTCAACATTTATATAAACGAGTTAGCTACTTTGTTTGACAACACAAGCTCTGATCCGTTTATACTTCCAAATGGAACAAAACTGAGCTGTCTTTTATATGCTGATGATCTAATCATACTATCTAGATCAAAGTTCGGTCTCCAGAAATGTCTGGATGACCTCCATAGCTGGAGCAATAAATGGCTTATGGAGGTGAATTTAAAGAAAACACAAGTTATGATATTTGAGAAAACAAATTCTAAAAAAGCGAAACCAATTTTTAATCTCGGAAAGAAAGATATAACTGTTGGAAAAGAATACTGTTATTTAGGCATTAAGATGAACAACAATGGTAATTTCACCCCAGCTCTTAAACAGTTGAGTGAAAAAGCCCTCCACGCATTATACAGTATGAGAAGACGACTCAATATACACCAACTTAACCCAAAATCTGCTATTAAAATTTTCGATCGAATTATAAGCCCCATCCTTCTTTACAACTCTGAAGTATGGGGTGCATATGTAAAAAATGATTTTAACAATTGGGACAAGTTACCTATTGAAAAAGTCCACCTTAGATTCTGCAAATTATATCTAGGTGTGGGTAAAAAAGCTAGCAATATCGCCTCGAGAGGTGAACCCGAAAAATTCCCTCTAATTATTAATATCTTCAAAAGACTTTTCAAGTACATCACTCATTTGAACTCTTTATCGGAAACAGCCATTGCCAAGCAAGCTTTCCTAATCTCAAAAAATTTGTTTACTAAACAGAACACTTCTTATTATGGAAAAGCAATGGATATTTTGAAAGCATTTAACCTCAACGCAGAAATCACTGACTTGGAATCAATCACAACTGAACTTATTCAACCTATTACCAAACGTCTTAATTAAAGAAAATTACCTCACATTTTGGAAACACAAACTTGAAAATCCCTCGAAACTAATCTTTTATTCGACCATCAAGATAGACTACGAACTATAGAAAAGTACTTATCTATAATAAAAGACTCAAACAAAAGAAAAACCTTAACACGTTTCAGATTAAGTAACCATAGCATTCAGATTGAAACTGGTAGATACCATAATATAGCCCGAGAAGAACGAGTGTGTAACCTTTGTCACTCGGGAGAACTCGAAAATGAATCTCACCTCCTTCTCACTTGCGAGGCTTACGGTGACATTCGAGTAAACTTTATAAACAGTCTAAAAAACGATCTCAATAGTTAACATGCACAACTCAACGAAAAGGAACGAATATTCTGTTATGTTAATAAGGATAGCATATTTTACATGTCAAGATTACAATTAAACATGCATATATCAAAAATAGTTATTGTTTAGCAAATGGCTATAAATTGAATAAAAACTATACCGAAGTTTTATATAGTCTTTGCAGGGATGTGTTATTTGGTTTTAGGCATACACATACTTTTTGACATTCTCTGCATGAATAGTGAATATCGATGCAAATTGCACTGTTCATCCTTGTCTTAATGGAAATATTAAATGCAAGTATACTTTAATAATTCCTTCATGCCTTTCAACCGTACTCCGTAGTCACGATGGACGAGCTACATGAGACTGCAACCGCTCCGCAATTTTTATCAGTTGCACTTATTAATAATCTTTTATTCTCCGTTTATTTGTGTGTACTGAGTGGGAATATTGAATAATTGTTAGAGGAAGAAGCCATTCATTAATTGCTAACCGCTAATCTGTTACTTCAGCATTACTATAAATTATTATTCCTTGCAATATTAAACTGGAGCCCAAGCGAACATCCCAACTCCACGTATTGAGGGAGTTTTGTTTCCTAACTTTGTGAGTTGTGAGTTTAATGAATAATGGTCCGGACCTTTTCAACGAGTTACATGTGAACATTTGTTTTGTAGTTTAACTTGGGCAAGTGTCGAGTCCTTTCTGAAATATTGAATATTTGACAATGGATTTCGAACAACTTATAATTGTATTGTCCTTGCGAGTATAAGTCTGTCCGCTGTGTAACACCAGTCGCAAATTCATGATGTGCTGTCAGCTGTCTCAATCAATGAGAATTAGCTCGTTTGTTACTTGGAACGGTATGTGATTATAATATTCGTTCAATATCAGACGATAGTTCATGATGTGCTGTCTCTACCAATGAGCACGCCAGTTTCTATGCATTTCGACGAATAGATCGTTCGTTTAAACCTAGTTTCCATTTGGTCGTTAGTTGTCGCTGGCACGACAAGCGGTAGATGTGAAATAGTTTAATATCAATAGTCTTTTTGTATCTTATATGCAAATCAGTCTTAATGATTGCAAAGTTTTATAAAGTTTTGTTGACACTCTATTACATCAACCACTTGCCGTGCCAGCGACAACTAACGACCAATTGGAAACTAGACTTTAATAAGGCTATACGTTCGTTTTCGTTGAGTTGTGCATGTTAACTACTACTACTGAGACAAACGTAAACGAACCAACTTTATCAGTTGACATAATGAAGTCATGCAACTGCTAGTGACACCATCCTGAAATTATCGAAATTATTTTTTCGTGTTTTGAGGAAAGACTTAAACAACTTGAAGCCGGGAATGCTGGTAGTCATTAGTTAAACTTTCCATCCTGTAAATAGTATCTTCTTATAGTCTACTTCTTAAATATTTTTTATATGTTACATTGTTACGTTATAGTTAAGCTTTAGCAATACCTGATGCTAATAAAGCGATTATCAATAACATTGACATTGTCTTTCGTTTATCGATACTTCGAAACTCACCGGTTGGTGTAAGTCTCCCACTTCTTGTAGTGATCAACCTATCCTCAACAAAGAACTTATATCCTCAACATTTTCCTCGGTCAACAGTCGTTTCTGATTCTGACATACTGGCGATGGTGTCATTAAAAACAATGTCTTTGCTACTTTTCATCAGCGGATGAGCTACTGTCTCTATAACTGCCATCACTGTTTTCTTCCACCAATATGTCGTCTTCAGAGACAAATAGCTCGCAATATGTCCCTGAATGACCCTGCCTTTCTCAGTTTCAAATAATGCATTCCGTAATGTGGTAAGTATACTTATATACTGTAGTTCTGAAACGTTCAACTTCTTTAAAAAGACCATCGTTAAACATGGCAGTCTTCATACTTTTTGTACCTTTTTTGCTGCGTTTTCTTTCCAGACTTAAATCTGGCCACGAAACATTTAATACCCCCTAGTAAATACTTTATGACCGGTCCCTAATATTAGAAAAAAAGTTTTCACGTTCTTCTCTAACAGTAGATATCTATACACGTGATTTTTCGTTGTTCCAGAGGTAAAGACGGACTTTCTAATCTTCCTAATTAACATTATATTAAAAGAATGGGGGCCAAAAAAAAACACCCAAGTCAATCAAATGGTTAAGTAGAGCGGCTGGAGGGATTGCAGAAATTATAAACAACTTCGACATAGCTGTGGGAATTAAGAAGAAGCATCCTCTCACAAGCACAAATTGTCAGAGAAAGATGAAATGAAATATTATTTTATCTGGTCTCTTGGAATTGAAACCATTTGCAAGCATCAATGATCATCTTCATGAAGGTTTCACAGATATATCATCAGATACATTAGCAACATTAGACAATTAATGCTGCATTTCATGACTCTGAGCTAAACAAACACAAGAGGAACATCACCAAGCACGTACCAGTGGACACATCAGAAGATGAAGAGGAATTATGACTGTGAATACTGTAACACTTGAATAAACAACAATAATTTGTATGGCTGTAGCACAGGCTACCTAGACCACCCTATTGACTCAAAATAACCGTTATAACTTATAACCCACAATCTCGTATGCCTGTTCGCGGGTTATCCGTGAACAGGCATACTCTGGAAACGAGATTGAATAACCATCTGAACAACCTATGCTTAAACTCTGAGCGCGCAAGGGATGATGGGTTTTCACCTATTTGCACTTTGCCAGCAGGGTTGCGCCGGTTGGCAACTTGGCCTTTTTGCGGCCAAATAACTCGATTTTGGCTTTTTTATTTCTTGTTTGGCCTTGAAAATATGTTTGGCCTTTTGGCTCTATTTTGGCTTTTTTATCAAGTGACAGGAATTTTCACTATTTTTTAGAATAATTTATTATGAAGGAATGTTAAACCATAAAGCAACATGTAAGAATGTAAGAATTGTGTATCGTTGACAGAAAATGACGGCATGGTAGAAAACCCGGGTAGCGGATAACCGGATAACCGGATAATCGGATAACCGGATAATCGGATAACCGGATAATCGGATAACCGGATAATCGGATAACCGGATAACCGAATAGTATATAGAGATTTTTTCATGGGAAATACTTACGTGTGGTATTTACGCACGCGTTATAATCTGTTTTCGCAAATTAAACGAACGAGCGAGTGCAAAATTTGTTCTTCATAGACGATACAGAGTTTATTTATATTACACAGCGAAAAATATAAATGTTTATATGTTTCATAAAGCGAGACAATCAGATAAACAAAGTCGTGTCGCACAAAAATACATCGGAAAATACAAATTTTTCAGTATTAATGAACAGGAAAGGAAATATCAATTTATTATTATTATTTACAAATATTTAAAACGGTAGCTCTTCAGAACACCTATGTCTATGATCCGTTTTTCAAGAGGCCGTTTAAACTAATATTTACAAAGTTTAATAAAAATTACATCTAAAATATGATATAATATAAATTATCACACAGTTAAAGTCTAAGAGAATATATACAAAATATTGTGTCCCATCGTCATTTCTTTTGCCTTAATCTCATTTGGCAAATTATTCCAGCATTTTGCCCCTGAGTAGCTAATACTTTTTTTGAGGAAATTAGTCTTAGGTTTATCCACTTGAAAATTAATTCCGTTATTTCTAAGGTCATATTTTTCATTATTAGAGAATCTAAACAAATTAGCCATATTTGCCGGTGCCTCCTGATTTTTAACATTAAACATGAATGTGAATCTCCCGCTCTCCCTTCTTTCCTCAAGTGTTTGCCAATTAAGCTCTTTTAGCAATTCACGTGTTCGTATTTCATATGATTTGCCAGTAATTATTCTTGCCGCTCTATTTTGCATTTTTTTGCATCTTGTCGTTCAAGTAATTGCTGCAATTTTCCCAAACCAGACTGCAATAATCAATAAAAAGGAAATATCAATAAAATAATGCACACTAAAAATTCTTAATTTGTTAAAAATTCGGAAAAAAAAATACCGGTGTGTGTGAAAATATTGCTGCAATCATTATTGCGTAAAACGTGCCTTTCTGACCTATAGCTACTAATAACGAACAGAAATCCTCGGCAGAAATCAGTCTCAAAGTAATAAATATTTGCCCGAAAAATAGAAATCAAACCTAGAATTGTTATTTGTTGAGAATATTAAATGCCCATCTTTGTTTATTGTTGAAAACATGACAATCAAAATATTAAAGTAACAACAGTTGATTGGCTTCCTTGTTTTTACCGACTTAGCTACTCTTGAAGTGCAAAGGATAATTTTCAATTCCCGTTAGAAGTTGGTATTTTTAATTGCATCACTTTAATACAGACAGTTCTTTAATATTGATCCTTTATCACACGAAATATTTTATAAAAAACCTTTTGATTCAGTACAAACATGTCAGCAGAAGATCAACTTGTTGTTTATAAATATAAAACTGGCGCATCCTAAAAGAGAATAATTTGTAGTGTATGCAATCTTTCGTGCTATAGCCTATACTGTGTCAGTACCTCCATAATGATATATATAGGAGTCAGGACATATAGCCAGTACCGCGTCGTCGTGTGCGACCTTCTTATATGTAGGCTAGTATGCTCGGTATGCTATGCCATATTATAGACGGCCAACAATATTGAATCTCAGAGCAAGCGAAAACTC